CGTGCGAAATGCCTGAGAAACAGGCGTCATTCGTTGACACATACCCAGAAGGCCTCGGTTTCGTTCCTTTTCGTCTGAGCTATTCATCGATCGATAAAGTAGAAAATATACGTTTAAATTTTTCCTAATCACAAGATGGTCTCACTTTTATTATAAACTGTAAACATCATCTTACCTTTTGGTATCTCTTCCTTAGCTTAGAATCATAAAGCTTACAATGGTTTTTCTTTGTTAGATGCATTTATTTATCTTCGCGTGTACTGCCTATTCGTATCCGAACTCAAAAATAGGTTAAGGAAAAAAGTCTCCTAAAAGTTGGGCGTAAATTGAATCAGAAATGGATAGCTATATGAATACTGAAAAGATAAGATTTGTCTATCCTTTCATTTCATCTTTCGTTTGGTTTTGGTTTGGTTTGGTTTTCTTTTCTTTTTTTTTTTTTTTTTTAGTTTGTTTGTTTCCTTTTCTCTCCGTTTCTTTTTTCTTTCTCCTTTCTTTCCATTCTATTCCTTACTTTCTATTCTCTACGATTTACTTTGTAACAGTTCTTTAAAACCTAGTGTTTCGCTACCATTTTTCTTACTTTTTGTCAGCTTTTTTGATATTATTTTTTACCTTACCTACCTTAAAAATCAGAAACGTGTGGACTGATCCGAAATTATTCAAGAAACAATACCAATAAACTAGACTATAGACATTGTACATATTAAATGAATCAAATAAACGAAAGCCAGACTAATGTCTCTATTTTTTTACACCCTACTTATTCAAGACACATCAGCCTGGCATGTCTTGATTTATACGTATAATAGTAATAGATAACGCTAGATATATTTTTTGAAAGTCGTATTTTTACGACAAGCCAGGACTAAGATTAATAGACCCATTTACCTTCGTTCACATTCCCATGAGAATTGTTCTTTGATGACAAACATGTTAAAATATTTACACATGAAAGAATCAACTCCCAAGAGTGGCGTCACATGGTCTGAAATGTGTACAACAAACAACGAGGCTAAAGAGGTCGATTAGTATTGAACTTCGTTGAATTCGTTGTTAATCCTTTCCTATATATATAAATATTTAGCTGACAAAGTCAGGAAGGAGGCCGGAGGTGAGTAAAAAAGGTTAGAAGTTTAAGTGACAGGAAGTCAAATCAAGGTAGAATGAAAATGAGAAGTAGCATATGGAATGAAATTGGACTTAATTTCTAAATTTCAAACCAAAAAAAGAAATTAGTCAGTTGTGTTTGTGCCTCGTAGTCGATCGTATAGTTGTCATTCCAGTTATATATATAATCGCAGTGGTAGCTACATTGTTTCAGTTGCAGTAAATTTTAAGCCTGGTTCTCACTAGTGACGCAAGCATAAGCACAAGCGCAAGCCAACGCAAGAAAAACAAAAAATTCCGTTCTCTTGCGCTTGCGTTGCTTCTTTTCATAGTCAGAACATGAAGAGGTTACTCTGCTTACGTCTCTAGAGAGAACCAGGCTTTAGGTGCACTGTACTTTTAGTTAAAATTTCATTCCCTGATCTTCGAGACCGGTAATTTCAATCGCAGTTTGAAGATTTTAATTGTGGTTGCAATTTTAGATTTTAGTTGTACTTTTAGACTCTTGTGCTTTTAAACTTTTGGTTATGATTTAAGTAATTCTCTGAGATGTATTGAGCTTGGATTGACTTTGGATTGTGGGTGTGATTATCGTAGAGTGCAAACAATATAACTGTGAAACTTTAGTAATACTAAATAGCACAATTTCATGCAAATTCCATTGTTTTCTATTGTTTAATTAGCACTATTTTGTACTATTTAGTAATTAGCGTTTCACGGATTTATTGTTTGCACTCTAGTCTATTATCGTAGCTGTAGTCGTGATTCTATAGAGCGAATTCGTATATCACACTTTAGCATGCTAATGAGGTCTGCTAATATTCAAATACAAAAACAATAATTAAAAAAGACACGAATTGGAAACACTGCACAACTGT